AAGTGAGCGTTGCATTATCGCTAATAGACATCCATTAACAACTCCGCAGAGTGCTCAACAACACCGAAGTGAAGGAGCGTATATATATATATATATATATATATATATATATATATATATATATATATATATATATATATATATATATATATATATATATTCTTTAATCTTCTCTAATTTTTCTAATTAAAATAATTCTCTAATTTTTCAATTTCGTCCGCGGCTGCAACACTGCTGTGGCGACAATGAATATAAATCAGCCTGATTAAATATATGTCAAACCATTATTTTTACGTTATAACAGGTAGTTCGCAGTGGAAACAAGCTGCAGGATCCTTCATATTCTCTCTTCGGAACAAAGAAAATCTCCCGCCTTTTAAAGCCCCACTGAAAAATCAAAATACTCCGCACGCAATTTACGCAGAAAATAGTTATGGACCATCATTTGGAGGAGGTCATGATATACACATATCTAATGATGCGGGTTCCAATACCGGTTCATACACATCTTTTAATTCCTACTACCAAGCTTCATCTGGTGTCAACGACACAAGCAGCATCCTGGCAGGAACCTACCAATTTCAACCAACAGAAGTTGAAGTTTTCCATATTATCTAGAACTTATCTCAATATATATTCGTGCACTAAATATTTTGCATTTTGTATGATTGCGTTGTAAAGAAAATTCAAATTGACCGAATAAGTCACTTTCGCATATAGGCCGTGGGCCAAAATTATTTCGCTTCGTGGTGTGGGATGTACTTGGTTTGTCGTTTATTTGAAAGGCTTACAGCTACATTACTACCAAAAAAAGTTCCCAAGCAAAAATACTGAGAAAATAGGTGATCAATGATTATCCTCTATTAAATTGTATTACAGCAAAAAATGGGAAATTTTGTTTTCAATTACAATGAAAATGACTTGTATCATCAGAAAACGTACAAAAAACCGCATACAAGACTTTTAAACAGTTTTTTGATTCTTCAAATAGTCTTTGAGTTATTGCTGTTTTAAATGTGAAAATTGAACCAAAATGTCGCAATAAGGACTGGGTACTAGGTCAAAAACGCGTTTTTGATAGCGTATAACTCAAAAATAATTTGAGATATAAAAAACTGTTTAAATGTCTTGATGCGGTTTTTCTAAGCTTTCTGATGCAAGTCATTTTGTTGTAATTGAATACAAACTTTCACGTTTTCTTGCTGTAACACAATTTAATAGAGGATAATCGCTGATCACTCATTTTCTCGGTATTGGGCAAGTTTTTCGCTTGGGAATTTTTTGTGGTAATTGAGCATTTATGGTAGTATGCATTAAACCACGGAAAATCTATTCGCCAGGAGGGTGCCACGAAATGGCTTTTCTTAATAGTGGAAAACCGGCTTATGTTTGATATGGAAATTATCCTCAATATGACGTCACATTGCATAACGACTTCCCCCAAAAACTGCAAGATCTTGCGATATCGTTCATCGAAATCGTAAAACCGTGCATGTGTGTTAGGTCAACATGCTATAAATATATACTATATGTGGACAGATTCGAATCAGTTATCTATGAGTTATAATTTAAATTTCACAAATCATGCAATTTGACGTCATAGTTAGAAGAATTTGCGCATCGAACATTCTTGTATATCTCAAGAAAGAAACAAGCCAAGATAGTTTGTGAAAGTATCTTACTATGGTCATTTTGAATTTCTCTACATGCAGTTCAATCATAAATCTGATGAAACAACATGCAAGTCATCTCATCCAATGTGGTTTATTTCTAATATACACTGAGCTCAAAATAAATATCTTACACCTCATATGCAGGAGTTAAAACCTGCTGGCTATGACTTGCGTGTCGTTTGATTTTGCAAGTTATTGTTCCAAGTACTTTTATGAAAATCTCGATAAAAGTTTTTTGTGGTTTTCATATATGTTTCTTATTAATCTTTTCGCTTATTCAATATGACCTTATTGCTCGTTATTATTACTTATAAATTTACTTATTATGCATGGTTAGACATAATTCACTGAAAGTCTTTCAGATACCGATTCAGTATTTAATCTATATAAAACAGCACATAGATATAGTGCAACTGGCCAAACAATTACGATTTCTGAGATTGGGGTTAAATCCGGTTTAATTCATTGGTATAAAATCTTGTCTTTGTTTAAGTAATACAGTTGATTTGTTGCAAAGTTCAATGTCTTTTATTTATTTGTTAGGTCCTGTTCACATGGACCCGGACAGCTTTATGTCGCGGGCAAGTAATTCGGCCCCGAACAAAAATTGTAATATTAGGAGCTTGTCAGCTAATCATGACAGCGAATGGGAAAATTATTCGACGTGCATTCCACCAACTTGGATATGCATTCGATATGCATACGTCACAAGTAGGGTAAAAGCGAAATTTTTATCTTGCAAACCACATGCATTATAAAAAAAAACTTGATTTTCCGAAGTCTTTTTAGTTTTTAAACATTTAAAAAACTTTTGGAAGAAATTTAGTCCCACATGAAGAAGTTTTAGCAAGTTTACCCTGCTTGTGACGTCATCAAAAACTCAGTTAATTAGGTCAATTATAATGCCAAGATGGCCGACTGCACACTGTTTTTGGTCAAAATATTTCGAAAACCAAGCAAGCTACGAAAAAGTTGTAAAGGGTCTTCATATATAACTTTAAAAGTTCTTTCAAATAAGACAAAGTTAATTTTATTTCCATATCCTTTTAAATTAAGTAAAGTTGTTATTATGTGTTAAATGGTTATCTAAAATCACAAAAACACGTACATTATATAAAATAGGCCCTCAAAATGCCACTTACTCTAAATTGTACTGGAGAACACTGATCGTCCCTTTTCGTATAGATGCCCCAAACTGGCGAATTCTTAAAAAAAAACTGGTTCTATTTGTCTTAAAATTATCATAAGAACAACTGTACACTGTTTTATTTAATTTACCTTCTAGAAAGCCTGTTCTGTATAGAAAGCATCATAACTTTGTCCACGTTGTTTAATAATTAATCTTCCAAAGCGGTGGTGGTAACGAAGCGATGTATACTTCACATTCTAATCCGTCTTGTTGCAAGCTTTCTATCGCTGTAATAAATACCGCTACTACCTGGCCGTTGACGACACAAATCACACAATTGAATGGAATTCATGTAACTCGACGACGATGATTTAAACGGTCTCTCGTATATTCGATACAAGAGACCTTACGATTTTAGGACGACAACGCGACGGCAACGGCTACCAATACAATAGATCATTGAAAATAATTGAAAAATTACAATATATGAATAATTTAGACATTGTCCTCGCTCTGTTTACAACGCCAAATCACAGATTTTGACGTCTTGATAGTTAACATGCACAACTGAACGAAAGCGTACGAATAGCCTCATTAACTTAACGACAAACGCGCTTAAACTCGCTTGCTTATTGGTCGAGACGAAAAATTATAAATTTTCGTCAGCTAAACGTATACGATCATCACATGACGTTCCAAAACAAACGTACGTATGTGTCGAAACTCTTAAAACCAGGCTTGCTGGTTGGTCGAGACAGTACATTATGAATTTTCGTCTAGTGAGTAAACTAATATATTCTAATCGTCAAGACTATAATTTGAATGTCTGCCATGAAAAAACAAGAGTGCGTAAACACAATTGAATTGAATTTTTAATTACCAGTTATTAACAACAATAGGATAATTTCTATACTGTAGTATCATTTTTTGTTGGGACATCCACACATAACTAATTAATGTCAATTCGTCAACCGAAGACTGGCCTCATAATAATTTGTTTACACAAATCTAAAGTACGTGGCGCATAATTAGGTAAGCCTGAGCAACTTGAAGTGTCCTTTCACAATGCAATTATATTTACAGAAAGGAAAGTTAGCTCTCTTTAACTTTGGGTTATTAGATTGGGCGCATGTTTGTACCAGGAATAATAGTACAGACTGGCGTTTAAAATGCATGGTTAATTCACTCAGTAAAGCTAGGGATCGGAAAGTATAAGGATAGTGAATCTGTCTTCTATTTCCTCTCCTCGTTTGCGAGTAAACTGTTGGGCGTACATCACGTACAATCTGTAGAAAGGATTCGACACTTTCCCCCGTTAAATTCCAAAACAGAAATTGCTCTCTTTCATTGAAAAAGTCGCGACCATTGCATGAACGCCGAACTGAACACACAAGATTGGGAAACAATACTCCTTCCATACGTGCCCTTGGGATGTTTGTTTGGGGGCCGCGGGCATGCTGTTATCAAGAATAATAATTTGCAGAAACTTTCAAAGTTTTCAAGTAATAACTCGCGGTTAACAGTGCATGGTTTATTTCGTTATTTAACCTGCTATATCTTTTTAATGCCTCTACAGCACAAGTATATATGCACGGAGAATAAAATGTTACACAAAATTGCTAAACACTGCAGAGCGGTTGCAATCACATGTAAATCGTCTACCATGGCTACGGTTGAAATGATTTAAAAAACACGTGTATTTGCATAAATAGTCGAGTAAATACAATACCAATCTAAAATGTCGTGTTTTGTGATCAGTGTTTATGCCTCGTTCTTTAGAAAGATAAGTAAAATAATTTCTATAGTTCATTGTCTTTTATTGTTATGATCAACCAATCACAAAGCCATGTTCATATAGGTTGGTGGCGACCCAATGTACATTATTAACATAACTGAATATTCGTTCGCTAACGTCGAGTTGTGCATGTTAACTATACAACGGCTGCATTTCAAGCCGCAACAAGTGCAACTTCAAATTGGGTTCAGGAGAATTCTTTCCAACCATGAAACACATGTCTTCAACTTCTAAGACTGTATTAAATTCATACGATTGATAATGTACGACGAATTATCTTGACTACCATTTATTTGGAGTTTGTTTTGGCCGTCGTCGTCGCGTTGCCGTCCTACAATCGTAAGGTCTCTACAGTTGGATACGTTGCAACCATTCCAGCAAGCATCTCGTTGTCGTGACGTTTTAAGCTGGGAGACTATACATTTACACAAACACCGAAGCGAAATGGCAGAATTTATGTCTGTTCACACTGCGCCGTTACAGTTTGATTAATACTTGACCAGCATGCGAGTTCGAAAACATACGAAATCATCATCGAGTCAAAACTCACGTAAAATAGCTGATCGCTATTGCTTGTCGCTTCTCGATTCGTCTGCAACCGTAAAATACTGCGTTGTTATTGGTTGTTACTTTCTAAGGATGTATGCTGAATAAATTACAGCTCGAAATACACATGCATGCTTTGTGAATCTGCATTGTTGTTCTGTCAGTAAAAGATCGATTAAACCTAATATGCGACCGAAGCCATGCACAGTTTTAGCTTTCGTGAGAACTTTCGAAGAGGAAAGTAACTTTCCAGATAGCCGAAGGATTACTTTAAACAAGTTACATACAGCGTGTCCCAAAAAAAAAAAACTATTAAAATAACGACTACACAACTTTTGCCCAAAACTGTCGCATGCAACCTACTTACAACTTTGAGTTGTACTGTGTAAATCAAGCACACAAATCACCTACGACAACGTAAGCGAGTTGTGTGCTTGACTTAACAGTACAACTCAAGTTGTAAGCAGGTTCCATGCGACAGTTTTAATTAAACTAAAAGTGTAAATCGGCCTTATGTATAGTGAACATGTGAGACTGATTACATGGAGAGTTTTCAGTCCGGGCTGAAATTGCGAAGTGTAATCGGCCTTATGTATAGTGAACATGTGAGACTGATTACATGGAGAGTTTTCAGTCCGGGCTGAAATTTCAGCCTGGCTTTTAAGGATAAAATCCTATTAAATTTAATGAAATTTATGCGCGCGCAAGGGGCGACGGTAAGTAAGGTATCATATTGCTGATTATGCTGAAAACTTTCAATAAAAACTGCCGAAACAACAGAAATATCTCAATATTTACAAGTATATATAAGCTATCTCTCGACTTTCGGAAAGCGTAAGAATACAGTCGCCTGCGGCTCGAGTATTTTTACGCTTTCCGAAAGTCTCGCGACATCCTTCGTGCATGGATTAGGCAATCCTGCACGGAATACCATTCGGTATTCCTTTATTAAAACACAGCAAACGATTACATGACAGAAATTTCAGCCCGGGACGAGTTTCAGCCTGGGTATAGCTTCCCCGTGTTGAATATCGTCATGTAATCGACGGAAAAAGCACCATAGGAAAAGCACCATAAAGCACCATGCAAATTTATTAAACATATCTAAGATGGAACCCGCATGCTCGGCTCCAATAGTAATTTAGATTACAGGAAAATACTAATGTTTTTCCTCATGAGCAGTTGTTAATGTTTGACCGTGTACTTGACCGTCAAGTTTCTGTAGTTATTTCCAGCGCTGAGGCATGTTTCAAACGTCGCGCTTCTCATGTGCCGAACGCATTAAAAACAATAGATAGCCAGCTGAAATGCCGCATTAGGCCAAAAAGAAATATGTGGGTTTCCGGTTTCACGACCCTACCTACCCTAAACTTTTTTTATTGGATCATGCTTGTAAGTGTTTCCACTTAGAGGAAAAAGTTTGTGGAAAATTGAAATTTGAGGCAATATTAGGGAAATTTATGTTTGGATGTGGAAGCACTGACTAAACAAAATGGCGTCCGCTTGTTCGGAAAATTAAAAAAAAAGTTTAAAAAAAAAGTTAAAACCGACCTACCCTACCTACGTTTTTATGAGAAGAAACCGGAAACCCACAATCTATTGTTTCTAAAGCCGTGTTTACACTACGAGCCTGGCCTAGGCCTAGCTTTGGACTAGATTTTTGTAGTGTAAACGCACTTTGGGCCTGGCCTAGGTTAGGAAATGTGGAACACCTGTTCTGATGGCCCAGATTTCCTGACCTAAGCCAGGTCGAAGTGCGTTTACACTAGAAAAATCTAGTCCAAAGCTAGGCCTAGGCCAGGCTTAGGCTCGTAGTGTAAACACGGCTTAATGCGTTCGGCACATGAGAAGAGCGACGTTTGAAACAGGCCTGAGAAACGCTAGCAAAATAATATCATTGGCAGGTATTGTATGTGGGATGAATAACTGGAACGCTACCTTCATATATAAACTGTCTATATTTTTCTTGAAGCCAACTCTCACTCCAAGACACGCAGTGTCTGGAGATCAAGACCCGCGTGTTTATGCATATTCTCTCGCGAGATCATGCCGTCTTGATAAGAAAAAAACTAAAAGTAAATTCTACTATAGGAAGTTTTCCCTAAATAAATGAATTATAGAAAGTTTTCAAAGCTTTATTGGCAAATTATAAGCTGGTTTTCAAAAATACATATTCATGTTGACGGATTGCCGTGCTCTTGCATGCGCGAAAAGACTGGGAATGGCCTTCATGTTTGGCTTCAAATATCCGGTTGGAGGTAGCGCTCCAGATATACAGCCAATTCAAAAAAGGCTCATTCCCACTCAAGAAAAATTTCCACGGACAGAAAATGTTCCTAAAATATCATTGTTAAAAGTTGAAATTTTTCAACTTCAAAATTTTTTTTCCAACGGAAAATTTGTGTCAGCCAATCAAATTGTACAAAATTTTCTTTCCGCGGAAAATTTTCTTGAGTGGAACCATTTCCACTCTAAACTCTAAACCCTAAACCTTAAATTCTAAGCGTGCAAAGCTTAATGGGAGCACAAGTTTCAAGCTTAGTAGTTGAATATTGCAGCTATTTGTGTTCTGGTGAGGAGACATTTACCATGTCTCTAAGAAATGGGCCCCATATATGATTTCTAAACTGATTAAATGATGCTCCCATTATGCTTTGCAGGCTTATAGTCTAATGTTTAAAGTTTAGAGCATAGATATCTTATATACACTAGATAGTGCATCTAATTATCTGCAATTCAAAAATTGAAGCCGTGATTGCAGTCTCAGGTCGTTCCCATGAAATGAGAAGATTCGTATGTTTTCTATTTCTAAAACAGGCAACTTAAACATTAAGTTAACCCTATTCCAAATACGTTTTTAAACTATTCAAATGATGAAAGTTATTGTTGTTTTCAAGCGTTTATTGGCAAGTGGGAACGACCAACACGGCCGCCATCTATTGAAATGGGGGTAACCGCTGGAATATTCTTGGCTTCAATTTTACTACACGCGTAAAAATCATCATGTTGATGCAAGTTGTTCAAAACAGGAGCGAACAATGTTGTGCTGCATCCCGTGAACAATATTGTTAACAAGTTGTTGAACCATCAACATTGTTGCAACTTGTTGACAATCATGTTAACAACTTGCAACAGCACTGATGGTTGAACAACTTGTTAACAATATTGTTCACGGGGTGCAGCACAACATTGTTCACTCTTGTTTGAACAACGCCGAACAACCTGATCAATTTTTACCCGTGTAAATGAGATGCGCTATCTAGTGTATATAAGATATCTATGGTTTAGAGTTGAATAAGGTTAGCAAAGGACAACCTTTTTCGAATTAGCTGTATTCATTTCACTGCAAGGGATTGATTGTTAGAAATCACAATGGTTCAAACAACCAGTGCAGGTCTTAACATAAGGTTCGATACATGATAAGTGCGACGTTTGAACTAGCCAATACTTGACACGTACACATACATGTAATATATATACACATTTTCCCATAAGAACTCTCAAACGGTCAGAAATCCAGTTCACAGCCACTGAACTGTTCAGTTATGGAACCTAGTAATATACGAGATGAAAAAATTACAGTGCAATTAACATAACAAGAGCAGAGCCTGGAAACGAGGCAAAAAAAAATGGCGGCAGATAGTAGCTAAGTTCTTTGTATGTTTGCATGGCGATAAATTATAATAGTTTTGTTTGTGGAAACACCACGTAAATTTATTACTGCAGTTATGAATAAATAAAAATAAAATTTATTATATTAAATGTTATTACTATAAAATTAATATAAAATTTATTATATTATATTATATTTATTTATTTATTTATTATATTAAAATTTATTATGTTTAATATGTGTATATTTATTTAAACACGTAAATTTATTACTTGCAGTTACTGCGGTTATGCAGTAATAAATTTACGTGGTGTTTCCACAAACAAAACTATTAGATAATAGTTATAGCTAATTATAAATTTTCTTCATAAACTTCAGCTTTGATTTTTAAAATTACTTCGCCAACAAACTCATAAGATGGGTCGTTTTTAAGTACGCTAAAACATAATTCGCATCCGATCTTTATCGGTTATACTGTTTTAACTAGTACCAAATGAATATACTTTAATGGTTCTACAATCAACTATAACAATATGAATAGAGTATTTTTAAAAGCTAGTGTACATCTGTACTCGCATCAACCGTGGCAAATTAATTATTTATGCGCAAATATATATTTTTAATAAATATATTTTTAGTGCTTGAGGAACTATTGTTTATTTAATAATATAATTCTCAAAAATTGTGAAATTAGAACTATTGGGCCATTCATAGAAAGAAAACAAGTCACAACTTACTTAAGATGAGAACTCAAGTTGCGAAGTATTGTGCACAATTAGTCTGAACCCCCGTCCTTAGTTAAAGCTATGAAACGGTAGTTGTTTAACTTTTGTAAGAAAATTCAAAATCCAAGAGCAAAGAGCCTGGGAACGAGGCTGATGTTCAAACCCTTCAGCAATCTCGTTCCCCGAGCCTGCGATCCTCGGGAAGGAATCGAAGGCTCTGGGATAATCCGTTACCGGAAGCCAAGAATCCTGGCTAAGATTGAACTACGCATCCATTTCAATGGCCAATCAGATTCCTCCCTGAAACGGATTATCCCAGAGCCTCGTGTTCCTTCCCGAGGATCGCAGGCTCGGGGAACGAGATTGACCCTTCAGATGCTGTTATACATTCAGTAAGATCCTTTTTGTTTTCAAAAAATATACTACAGATCTAAATCGCAAGTTTTCCATCTTTTTAAAAAATGTGTCGATGTCCAATGTGCAAAAAATTATTATGAACGCGATAAACTTCAACATGAAAGGCTCAGAAAGTGAACCACTGCACTCACGAACACCAGGGGCGGGTTGTTCAAAAGCCGATTAGCTTAACCCTAAGTTAACTTAAAATTCAAAGGAAACTTCCTCACAGCTTATTTATAAATTTGGAAATATTTCTTCACAAACCATGTCTGGATCAATAGAAGTTTTCTTTTCTGACATTTTGAAATAAATGGACATGCAGAAATATGCAAACTAAAACAGTGGATTAAATTTTAAACCTGGATTAGCGCTAATCCACCTTTGAACAACCGGCGTTTAAAAATATTATTTGCGCATCAAATAATTTTATGTGAAAATTTTACTGCGAATAAGGGAACTTTTTTCTCGCCTGTATAATGGGACCAAACTTTATTCCAAAAATATATATATATATACTATTCACATCAATGACAATGTTGCCTTTTAAAAACACTTCAGCTCATATTTTTATACGGAACGTAATGACCTATCAAGCATGTTGTCACTATACTGTACAACGATTAAGGGATGTCCGGGGGGTGGAGGGGGGTTTGGACTCGGACATAGGGGGGGAGGGGGGTTTTAGCAATCCGGATGTCCGAAATTTAAAAAAATTCAAAAACAAATTTCTTTTTCCCTCTATTTTGAGCAGTCCTTCCCATTGTGAAATTGGCATTTTGACTATGCGGTTAACACTAGATTTTGTTTTAATTAGTAATTTATATGTTTTCAGTGTGTTCACATTTACAGTTATAAAAAAGTTCTAAAAGTAAAAAAAGTTTTTTACTCTTGATATATACAAGGTTGCGTGAGTTTTTGCGAGGCATGGCAGATGTCCGGGGGGAGGGGGGGTCACTAATTCGGACAATGCCGGACAAGGGGGGGAGGGGGGTCTGAAAATCCATCATTTGGCCGGACATCCTTTGTGAATGGCCCCTAATTGAGTGCATTGTCTAATTAATATGCTAGCGTATTTCCTAGTTTCCTTTAAACCTATACTCGCTCATAGCTCTTTAATTTCCCGTCATGCAATAAAAATGGCCTGTATAATAATTAAAATCTTTGAGCAGTATACCGCATGGATTGAATACAACGATTTATCAGTTCGATATGATGCGTATAGTTAAGTTATTCGGATAAAAGTATGCATGCATGCATGCATGCACAATTAGAATACAAAATTGTTTCGACTAATGCGTGTATTGTAATTTAATATGCACGCGTTTTTTTTCATATTTGCTAAAACTGTCAGCCGATAGATGAGACTGCTATTGGTGTTTAAAATTTTAGGTTTGCGCTAAATTTGTTCCAAAAGACTACGTATCCTTCTGTCCGTGAACAGGCGAAACTTTGACAAACAATTTAATTATTAAAGCGATAATTGCCATAATTCATGCAATTAAGACGCAAATGAACATGAATGCGTCAAGAGTTTGTCAGTTTTGCAATGTAAATATGTTTATAAAGGGCCTATATAACCGCATGCATGGGAATTACCGTGCTACAGGGAGTCGCGTGCATATAACGTCCTAAAATTGACTACTTAATTAGATTTTGCCGACGACGCTCACAAATAAAACAACCAGACAATGGTTCCCTGAGTCCGCATTCTCTCTTATAACAACAGAAAGTGATACCTTTTGCTTTTGCTTTTTAAATCGCAAATTTAGTCCGTTTTCTTCAAACTGTGTTGAGCCACCTTGATGTCAATGTCCAAAAACATTGTTATGAATGTGATAAACTTCAACATGAAAACGAGGCTCGCAAGTGACATCTGCATTCATGATACACCAGGCGTTTGAAAATATTGTTGCGCTTCAAATAATTTATGTGAAAAGTTTACTAGTATGAATAAGGAAACTTTTTGCCCTTCTGTAATGGACCAAACTTTATTCAAAATTTTTTTTATATATTATTCACATCAGTGTTGTCTTCTAAAAACACTTCAGCTAATATTTTTATATGAACGTATGACCTATTGAGCATTTTGTCGGTACACAACGACTAATAACTTTTGGCTATTTTGTTAATTAAGTGCATTGTCCATAATTATGTTAGCGTTTTTCCTAGCCTTTTCTAAATCTTATACTGGCCTAGCTCCTTTCCCGTCATGGAAGCAACAAAAACAGCCTGTAACTAAGAGTTTGAGCAGTATACTGATTGGATTGAATACAACGATTTCTCTTCGATATGATCCGTAGTTAAGTTACCAGTTCAGAGATTTCTCTTCGATATGATCCGTAGTTAAGTTACCAGTTCAGAGGAAAGTTTGCATGCACAATTAGAATACAAAATTGAAATTAGAATACCAAAGTTTGCATGCATAATTAGAATACAAAATTGCTGACTAATGCGTGTGTTGTAATTATGCATACGTTGTTGGAATAACTGCATTTAGTAAATTAGAATACAAAGTTTGCATGCATAATTAGAATACAAAATTGCGACTAATGCGTGTATTGTAATTATGCATACGTTGTTGGAATAACTGCATTTAGTATAATTACATAAATGATTATTGAAAATTCTCCACGCTGATTGGCTGCCGTTGAGGTGATTATTACGCGATAATTACCTCAACGATTTTCAAGATGGTGGCCGAAGCCTTTTTGTCAATTAAATGACGAAGAAATGTGTATTTTCTTATTTTTTTCAAAATAATCACCTATGAAATTATACTAAAACAATTATTATTCACCTCAGGCTCGGTGATTATCGTGAATAAAAACCTCGACTTCGTCTCGGTTTTTATTCACCGATAATCACCTCGCCTTCGGCGAATAATTGTTAAGTAATTTCATATTAATATATTTGCTAAAACTGTTGGCCGGCAAAAAAGACTGCCATTGGTGTTTAAAAATTTAGATTTGCGTAAATTTTTTCCAAAAGACTTTCTTACTGCCCGTGAACAGATAAAACTTTGACCAACAATTTAATTATTAATGCGATACTTTGTCACAATTCAATTAAGACGCAAATAAACGGTCAGTTTTGCAATGCAAATTACACATTTAATGGCCTATAACTGCATGGGAATCACCGTGCCATAGCGCGTCGCATGAATATGACGTCCTAAAATTTGCCACTTAGTTCAGTTTTGCTGTCGACGCCCAGAAAACAACAGAAAAATTGGTTAACCCAAGCCTGTGTTCTCTCATAACAACAAAATGAAACGCTTTCTTCGAACAGCGCTCGTGTCTATGCGATTTCTGTTCCTGATCTTGTTGCCACTTGCAGTTACAATGGAACAAAAACACTGCATGCCTGAGGATTACACGAACGTGGCGATTCCTTTTCGCTTGCTGTATGGAGGTATAAGTTTAATTTAGGCGGGAAGTCCTTATTCTTGCTTCTAATTCATATAGCGCTATATATTGCGGTTTTTTAATGTTTCCATGTCATCAGCTGCAACAATTTTAGTTAATACATGTGAACGTTAAGTTTTTCTTTGCCTGATAAATATTCTTTTCGCGTTGTAGATGTTTGCCATTTGACAAATAATATTTTGTCTGAAGCGACGTATGATTTCCAGAATCATTGTGCGATGAAGTGTTTGCAATATCCATTCTGTGCTGGATACAATTTTAAGAAAAAGCACCAGAAGAAGACTCCGAACTGCCAGTTAACACACACGCTGGATCACAACTTTCATGATTGCAACGCTGATGACAAAGGCTGGATATTTTATCATCCCGTTGCTCCGAGAAAGGTACAAAACTGCAGTAAAAATATACTTAATAAACTTTGCCCGAATTGGTTTATTTATATACCCAGCAAGCAATGCCTAGCTAGCAATACCAACATCTTAATATAAGCGGAATTAGCTTTTTTGTGCCCAAGCAGGAAGTGAAAAGTATGCATGAGAATTTTGCAATCTTCACAAACTTTCCTATTATAGCTACCTTAATTGTTATATATATATATATATAGGGTAAACGCCAAACGTAACCCGCCTAAATATACTAATAAACAAATTTTGGGCAGAACTCGCAAGTTTAGAAACTATACTATTTTCCAGGTTTGTGTTAAACTAAAGAATGTATAAAAGAGAAAAAAAATACACAACTCGTTTACATGTATAGAGTTTTTGTCATGAAATACACTGATAATTTATTGTTGGGTAAATGTTGTTGGTTTTTCATTCTGTTGCTATTTAACAAAACATGTTTTATTTATTTATTTATTTATTTACTTTGCCATCATACTTATTTATTCATTGGCTGGGAAACCACAACAGCCATTGCCAATTACAGCGGCCCCAAAATGCAGCATGCGAGTGACGACGTATATAGGCGTATTGTGTGCTTGATTTACACAGTGCAACTCAAGGTATATGAGCATAAGCATGTAGGTCAGTGCATGCGACCTCTCTCCTTTGTGCTTTTTTCGCCTGCGCGTCTTCCACACAGCGGTTCAATACGGTAAGCGTCGTGTAAAGCGCCATGTAAAGCTCATTGAAACCTCTGCGGAGGAGAGAGGCATGCGACAGTTCATGAGGCAAAAGTTGTGTAGTGTAAAATCAGCCTATAGTGTGGCGGATATGGGCATGGATGTTTCCGAAGAGGGTTAAAAGCACCAAATTGTGCACAGTAGCATCTTTTTATGTGTAGAACAACATGCAAAAGTGGGGCCATCGTGAAACTGTTTTTTTTAGAGAGTTACGATGCTATTAGCATTATTTGCTATTACATTCTACTACAACAAAAAAAGTGAAATTTTGAATTCAATCGCGACAAATATAACTTGCATCATCAGAAAGCTTGTAAAAAACTACATAAAAGACTTTTAAACAGTTTTTTTTATTCTTCAAATGGTTATTGCTGTAAATTAGGCACATTATCTCGCTTAAAGTCCCTAATTAATTATTCGATGTTTGAAAATGCGTTTTTACAGTTTATAATTCGAAAACTACTTCAGAAATCAAAAAACTGTCTGAACGTCTTATATGCAGTTTTTTATAAGCTTTCTGATGATGCAAGTCATATTTGTTGTAATTGAATACAGAATTTCACATTTTTGGCTATAATAGAATTCAATAGAAGAAAATCACTAATCACCCGTTTTCAGGAGTTAGCAGCAAAATAGCGATGGCCCCACTTCAAATATCTATTAAGCAAATAAAACTACATCAATTGTAAAAGTTTGATGCTTTTAACCTCAACGGGAACTACTGATCAATAATTTTACACATATCCACCTCACTACTATACAGGGTGTCCCAAAAAACCCAAAAGCATTGAAATTAACGCATTATTTGAATTTGAATGCAAAGATGCGTAAAATATTTGACAAGGGTGAATATATTAAATATTGACTTAATAAATTAAGAAATTAAAATATCTTTGTAAAGCGCACGATTTTCTGCTCTTGGGAATATAAGACAGCTTCTTAAACGGTTTCTTTATGCATAAAATTTACTTACGTCAAGCTGCACGTGTGGGTTCAGCAGAATGCTAGGGCATTCAAATTCTAACAATGCGTTAATTTCACTGCTTTTGGTTTTTTTTGGGACACCCTGTAGAATGGTTTCGAGTCCAAATTGAACTCGTCCTTTGGATTCGATTATATTTATAAGAAAATTATATACTTTTGATACACTATATTGCATTTCGTTCTCATTAAAAAATACTGGACAAATTATTATAGTTAACTTGTGATGTTATTCTGTTATTCTGTTATTTCAGCTTAAATAATTAAATTTGCATGCAGGCTGAGTTTCTCTTAGACTTAGTGTACGGTGAGCTGAATTCTAACATATTCACTTCACATGCAGGTTCCATGTCATAAAATGAAGAATTGTAAAAATGGGGGAAAGACGATCATTTATCTCAAAGATGGACCTGGTTCTGATCCTTACAGGTGTGAATGTCCAAAGGGATTCGGTGGAGATTTCTGCCAAATTGGTGAGTTGTTAAAAATCGAGAAAAATTACTGCGCAAGATAAAGATGAAATAGTGATTAGAATCAGAAGTTGTTGCAACAAGAACTCATGTCAAGCCGTGCTAAAAATATTTATGCACGTTCGCTCGGGTCCTCAAACTTCACCATGAAACTGTCCACTGCATAATATTAATTACAGCATTCATTCAATTCAGCTTTTGTTGCAAGTGCAGCAATTTTGTGGCCTGTGTAACTCCGCCCTTAAGTAATTTATTATTTTGCTGCTGAGGTTTGTTGGATTCTTTTTCTATATATAGATAGATAAGGGTACGAATTTGAGACCATATAGCTATACCAGTTTGGAAAAACACATGCACGAGTGAGATTTCTTAAGGGACCGGTCATTATTTATGGCGGGGGGTGGCACCGAAGAGAAAAGGGTTGGGTAAACAATATTTTGAGAGAGTAAAAGGTTGGGTAAATGAAAAACAAAACAACTCAAGGGTTGGGTAATAAAAAAATATTGTCATTTCCAAAGCATGAAATATTGGAAGAAAAAAAGCAATGTCAACAGTCGTATGTAGATACAATATGTGAATCAATCAGAATCATTATCCTGATCATTTTCCGATTTGTTGCATGGGAGGCAAATGGTGTCTCCAGAAAAACAACATGTGCAGACAGGACGAAACTTTAGACTGCAGAAAATTTCACAAGCCGTTATCAAACTCATGTCACAGAAGTGGTAAAAGTATCCTTTGGTAAAGTTTTTGGCCAGGGGTGGGAATTATATTTTTTAATTGATAGTTGAGGTTGGGTAATCACATTTTTGACTTTCTAATGGTTGGGTCAGCAAAATGTTTGCCAAGAAAAACATTTCTCTTCGGTGTCACCCCCTGCCATAAGTAATGACCGGTCCCTAAAGACGATCAAAATTAGTTGGAAATTTTTTGGGACTTAATTTTTAACTTGATGTTTGTTTTTTTTCATATGCGATCGTTTCAACATTTTTAATGCCTTACATAAAACAAAAATACAATAAATAAAAAGATGTGTTGACCGCGTTAGAATTTGATCATGTTTCTTATTCTCATTTATTTCCGACACTTTCTGCAGACTCCGTCATATTGAACTCAGTAAAAATTGTTAAAGAAAATCAGAACATCTCAAGCAGTTCGCAAACTGTAGCTTACTAAAGACAGGATTAAAAATAATCACTTCGTGTGAATCATTACACGGACACCGATATGACGTATATAAATAGTATCCTATACGATACTATTTACACTATAACGCGATACTAGGATACCGAGGTTTACTGTATGAAACCTAAACATTTTTCACTCCCCAATGACCACCCCTGAAAGCAAAAAATAATATAATAATAATAAAAAAATTCTAAATGTAGCCAGTTTACATGTGTTTAATCGCAACGGAGCTTAAGAATTAGCGTTGGGATTAGGGCTATTGTAATTGTAGACCACTACAACCCAATACTTTATTGCATACAATGGCATTATACAATGGCATTACAATAGATTATTGATTTTGATTACAACCGCCAATAGATTATTGATTTTGGTTACAACGCCAATAGATTATTGATTTTGATTACAACGCGAGGAACGGCTGATAGATTCATTTGTTACAACGTGCTGAACGGGTGCAGCGGATTTAAATAGATTATTGATTTTGATTACAACGCGCGGAACGGCTGATAGATTCATTTGTTACAACGTGCTGAACGGGTGCAGCGGATTTAGTACCCTGGCCTCAGAAGCCTGGGACGGCGCTCCGCAACGTTGGCTCGGGTACAATAGTTTAAAATTTCATCATGTTTCTTATTCTCATTTAGTCCTGACGCCTTCTGTCGACTCCGTCATATTATCTGGAGAACCAGCTGACTTTCTGAAAAACTTAACTTTATGGACAGAGAATAGAAGCACTAATTGGAAGCTGTGCTGGCGTGCAACCAAGCATGGATGGGCAGCCAGTACCTTCCATGCAAACTGTGACTACAAGAAACCAACTGTGACCATAATAAAAGTTGGTAACTTCATCTTCGGTGGTTATGCTACGAAGTCTTGGGAAGGTGAGACTAAATTTTCAACTTTTCTGAACAAGAAAAATACCAGAGTCGTTGCTTAAGATAACTAGACGCACAGGTCACACAGGGATGTCTGCATGAACTTATTGTTCAAACTCCTGCCCGGACTTACCAAAAACGTCACGCTTCCCAATATTAATTATCGAATTTAGCTTATAGAGTATATATCTATATACGTTTACATGCATTACATTGTGCAATAAACACGGTGCATGCATGTTCAAACTAGTGCGTGCATGACAGTGCGTGTGTAAATAAAGTACACGCTAGCTAGCTTCGAGCGATCGATCAAACAGAGAGATGATTTTGAAATGATGTTCATTGGCAGATCGTAATTTACTAGTGCGAGAGTGAAATGTATGCAATGTTTTGATAAAAAATATAGCGACTCTCTATATCATCAGGTTTTGATAAAATATATAGCGACTCACTACATGTATGGGCAACAGTGATATAATTCTGAACCAAGTTCCCAAGCAAGTTCGCAAATTGCAAACGATTTTGGCGGTAAATTTTAAAAACTAAATCGTTTCGTATTAAACTTATTATAATTATAAAAACTGAAATTATTATTATTATGATATTACTTATTATTAAATGATTGAATAAGTTTAATACAATAAGTTTAGTTTTTAACACTTACCGCCAAAATCGTTTGCAATTTGCGAACTTCTTGGGAACTTCGTTCGGTAGTCCGAATCACGAGTTTGGATAATTTGATGCGTAACTTTCGAATTTGTTTGGCCGGTTTCCAATCGACTTGACGACCTCGTGTTTATAGTTCCCAACCAACCTCGCAATTGGCGCGGCCAAAGTTTTGTGGCCTGTGTACAACCGTTACTCTCGACGAAACGCGCGAGAGAACGTCTGTGAGTTGGATGCATATAATCCTTGTTCAGGTCACGTGGATAGTTCCCAGATTTGCGGACCGGCCTCTGATTGGACAGTGCTTTATTTGAATAATTTATGACAAATGAAGCTATTTCATTGGTTAATTGATAATTAGCATGCGTTTAAATTAAAATAACAACACAAAAATTTTAAAATTCCAAATCAAAAATCAAGGTTTCCTTCGGGGCATACAAAAGTTCGAAAGACTAGAAATATAATCTGTTGAGTTTAATTTTGTGCTGTATCGAAGTTTAAGAAAATCAAGATAAAATTCTACAGTAGAGTTTGGACACTTAGCGAACAATGCTGACAAATATATAAAATACAACAAACTATCGGACGAAAATTGACAATTTATATAATTGACAATTTGATAAATTGGCAATCTGTTTATATGTCCCGACCCCTCACGATAAAGCATTTTCTTTACATGTAATGTGTTTAACTTCGTCTTACTTGGCCAGTTAACTTTTAATTACTTTAATATGCACCTTTTGAATAACCAGTTATGTTTATATTTAATACTTTGTCTTTGTAAACAAATATACGCCATATATATGTACGCCAAGAACTGAGCTTGTACACCGGACTTGCCGGCAATGATAATCGTTCAGCGGCCGGTTGTATAAAAAAGTGATAAAGCCACGTTTACACTGCGCTCAATTTTTGTTACGGCACGGATAAAATTGATACCCGTACCACTTTTTTTGGTTCTTGGACTACCTATTTAGCTAAGCCCCGTTTACACTACGCTCAATTTTTGGTACCGTACCACTTTTTGGTTCTTGGACTACTTAAATAAGTTGTCCAAGAACCAAAAAAGTGGTACGGCGTACGGGTACCAATTTTATCCGTGCCGTAACAAAAATGGAGCGTTGTGTAAACGGGGCTTAGTTTTATATAACCGGCCCCAGCATTGTTCGCACTCAAAACAAATCTCTTGATTGAGAAATATATGCTATATATTTCTGGTGTGTCGTTTTTCAGGATTGTATTTCAAGTCTTTCAAACCTTTGTATGCCCAGAAGGAAATCCTGATTCTTGATCTGGAATTGTGTTGTTATTTTACTGTAAATGCATGCTAATTATCAATTAACCAATGAAATAGCTTCATTTGTCATAAACTATTCAAATAAAGCACTGTCCCATCAGAGGCCGATCCCCAAATCTAGGAACTATCCACGTGACCTGAACAAGTATTATGCATCCAACTCACGGACGTTCTCTCGCGCGTTTCGTCGAGAGTAACGGCTGTACACAGGCTAAAGTTTTGTGAAATCAACTGTAAATAAGAACTCAACTCGTACAAACTGGCAGGTATTGTGATTCTATATTTATCCCCATTTCAGGACAGAAATTAGGTTTGCAATTGGTTGCTTTAGACTAATTCTTTACTATACGCATCGAATTAAACTTTCAATGTATGTCAATGAGATGAAAAATGACGAGTAGCAAGCCTTTAAATTAAAAAAAAATTCGAACACGGGGTGCCAGAAATTAGATTCCTCCTACCTTAAGTATATACAACATGACTAATATCGATATTCACCCAAAAGTAAAAAAGACAAGTTGACTGCATGGAATGACCATATGAAAACTGCATTTCAATTTTGTTCCTGATGAAATTTTAATTTTTTAAAGGAAAAATTAAGGAGGTAATATGCAGGAACTGTTGTGTTGAAAAGACCGCAACCATTATAGCAGCGTATATATACTTAATGTCTGCTCCAGAAGAAAATAGTTTTGTTTTCCAACAACCAAAATATTTCAATATTTACAAGTATAAGCTATCATTCCGTGTTTACACGGCCGCCATTTTTATTTTGTCAGCATAATCAGCAATATGGTACCTTACTTCCCATCCACCACTGCATAAACTAAAAGCTGGAATTGCCTATTTAATTACAGCAATCGTTAATATTTTTTAGTTGTTATTAATGCATGTAGGGTTCTGTACAAAATATCAAAACTTTACAAATTTCGAGAATTAAATTTAAAACTTGATGACTTGTAATTAATATCTATATCCATTTACCAAAAGCATTGTTTGTGCGCTGAGCTGGTGTAAATTTATATGAATATCGGTAGGAATATGTTCTTAAGACAATATAGACATATCAATCTGGGACATATACGTATAGATAGATAGATTTAGATAGGTAGATAGATAGATAGATTGATTGATTGATAGATAGATTATTTAATAAGATTTTACATCGCAGCCCAAAGTAGCTGAATTGCGTAAAATATACAAAACATATAAATTAACCGTAGGCAGGGCCGTCCTCAGGGAATTCTTCAGGGGGGGGTGTAAGGCCATTTCAACCGACTAGTGCAGAAAATTTTTTCCGGAACAGATTATTTTTGGCGACCTCCCCCTCGTCGCCAAAAACATTTCGGTCAGTGTACCATTTTAGGGGTCCAAAAATTTTTCCGGACATACAAAAATTTTCCGGAACATTAAAAAAATTTTCCAGATATCACAAATTTTCTCCATTTTTCCAAAATTTTTTTCTAAAATTCCGACCCCGATCTTGCCCTTTGCGCGAAAATATTTAACCCAAATAGCAGTTCTACCGACTGGATAGCAGTCCTACCGACTGAATACAATTTCTGGGGGTGTCACACCCCCCACACCCCCCGTAGCTCTGGGCCTGACTGTACGTTATAAAGGATTTCGGAACCAAAATATTCATATCGGATCGGATTGATAAAGTTGCATGTTTCGTAGTCGGATCGGACTTCGATATCCGAAATAAAATGAATTTAATTATCCACGCATTTATCAAAGCATTATCGCGATTGTCGCTGCACGTCACTTTGTCAGCTTCTTGACATGTATTTCTTGCTTTTATATTTATTTGGTTAAATATTTCAACTTGAATGAGAAATTTATTTTATTAAAGAAATCTTCGGATCCGATTGGAATTTTTTATCAAAACTCGGATTCGGATTAGACAATTTCGGATCGGATTAGCTAATTGTCGGATTATAAACGTCCAATCCGATCCGATGCACACCATTAAACTTACGCATGTTATGAAAACAATTCATGGCAAACCTATTTCTTTCAGTAAATTATTTTGACATTGCCGAAATATAAGAGTTTCTAAAACGATTGGTTCGTATAGTAGTCGTATAGACCGAACAATAAGTATTTTTTAGAGAAACGTGAAACCTCTAATATTTTCAGTAAATTGATATTTAAGTATTTCTCGTGAAGGGTGAAATCCTTTATTTATTTTACGTGAAACGAGATTTAAAGACCAATTTCTCGTGAAAGGTGATTAGAAAATTTTAGGAGAGACCATTTCGTTTATCAGTGAGAAAGAGTGGAAAATTAATTAGCAAACTAATGAACATTTTTATCTTGCTTCCACTGAAGTTCATAAACTGTACAATACCTACACGCCGTTTAGTGAAGCAAAATAAACATTTCAACAACAGCGTCTTACTAATTTCCGTGAAACGAACGTTTTTCTTCGTGAATCGTGAAATTACGGATTTATTTTCCATGAAACGTAATCAGTACTATCCGAATTATTTAAATGAAAGATACTAGATAAAGCCTCTCGCACACAGCAAGAACTTTTGGCTGAGCTAACCGCCACGCAGTGGCAACACGCGGTTTTGTTGCGGATTTTGACGCGCGTGACCGTGAGGAAAAATTGACGTGTTTGATTATTTTGTCCACGCGAGGCCCCAAGGTCGCACCGTGTGCGGACGTTGTGACGCTCAGCTGTGAATATGTAGTAGCCAATAAAAGCACATATCTTTCTCACGTGGTACGTGATATTTGCCGCCATTTTGAAATTTAGAGGGAAATAGAATCTTAGCTTAACACTTTACTTTTATATGATTGCGACAAACATATATAGAGATGAGCTAACCGCCACGAGTGAAGACTAGCTCGGCTAAATGCTCTCGTGTGCGGCAGGCTTAAATGCAAAATATGCCGATATGCATGAACACTTGAAATTTTTCAAATTTGTCCGCGGCTGCAACACTTCTGTGCCGATACTCAATATAAATCTGATTAAATATGTCAAAACATTATTTTTACGTTATAACAGGTAGCGGCAACTATAAACAAGCTCCAGGATCCTTCATATTCTCTCTTCGCAACAAAGAAAATCTCCCGCCTTTTAAAGCCCCACTGAAAGATCAAAATACTCCGTACGCAATTAACGCAGTGATTAATTATGGACCAATATTTGGAGCAGGTTATGATCTATACATATCTAATGATGCGGGTTCGAATACCGTTTCAGGCACAACTTTTAATCACAACTACCAGGCTCCATCTGGTGTCAGCGACACAAGCACCATCCTGGCTGGAACAAATAAATTTCAACCGTCAGAAATTGAAGTTTTCCATATTGTCTAGAACTTATCTTAATATATATTCGTGCACTAAATATTCTTATTAAAGTGGTCATGCAATGAAATTTTTCGCCATTTTTTATGATTGCGTTGTGAAGAAAATTCAAATTGACAGAATAAGTCACTTTCCCAAACTATCTTAAGCCGGTTTTCCACTAGGCGGAATTTTTCTTTGTCTTGTAATTTTTCGGGTGGAATTAATTAGAAAAGCTAAAGAAAAATTTCGCTCCGCGCGCAAAATTCCACATAGTGGAAATCCAGCTTAAGGCGGTTTCGCCACTAGGCGAAATTTTTCGACCGAATCGAAATTTCTCTTTGTCTTTTTACAATTAGTTCTGCTCGAGAGCTCTGAAACAAAGAGCTCTGAAACAAAGAGAAATTTCGATTCGGTCGAAAAATTTCGCCTAGTGGAAAACCGCCTTTACAAGCACTCAGATGGAACTAAACAGAAATCTTTTGAATTTGAACAATAGAAATTTCGGTTCGATCGAAAAATTTCGCCTAGTAGAAAACCGCCTAAAGTACAAGCACTCAGATGGAACTAAACAGAAATCTTTTGAATTTGAACAATAGAAATTTCGGTTCGATCGAAAAATTTCGCCTAGTAGAAAACCGCCTAAAGGCCTGATTCCACGGGCGCTTTTTCTCGGCGAAATGCGAAATATTTCGCCTGTTTCTTTTGAATTGCGACCACTCGAATAAATTATTTCTACTTGATTGCCCACAATTCAAAAGAAACAGGCGAAATATTTCGCATTTCGCCGAGAAAAAGCGCCCGTGGAATTAGGCCTTTAAAGGCCTGATTCCACGAGGCGGAATCTCGAGAGCTCATGAAACAAAGAGAAATTTCGATTCGGTCGAAAAATTTCGCCTAAATTTCGCCTTAAAGGCGGTTTTCCACTTGCGAATTTTTTCGCGCGAAGCGAATTTTTCATTTGTCTCTCAACTGGCACCATCTGGATAAAGACAAAAGAAAAATTCGCTTCGCGCGAAAAAATTCGCAAGTGGAAAACCGACTTTAAAGCTTGTTTCCCTTTCGAGATATTTAACAATTTTTGAGATGCAAATAATTATCCTCACTATATGGCGTCACATTGCATAACGACTCCTCCCAAAAACTGCAGGATCTTGCTATATCATTCATCGAATTCGTAAAACCGTGCATATGTGTTAGGTCAACATGCTACAAATATATACTATATATGTCGACAGATTCGAATCAGTTATCTACAAGAGTTATAATTTAAATTTCACAAAGCCTTTATGCAACCTGACGTCATAGTTAGGAGAATTTGCGCATCAATCATTCTTGAATATCTCAAGAAGGAAACTAGTCAATATAGTTTGACAAAGTATTTTACTATATGAGTCATTTTGAATTTTCTCTACAATTCAATCATAAATCTGATGAAACGACATGCAAGTTATCCATGCATGTTTTAAACACTGGCATATGGGGAAGATGGAGTGATATAAATTTGATCAAATTATGGGAAATACACAATGTCATGTGAAAACGATTAATGGGCAGCGTGAAGATCTTACACTTCATATGCAGGAACGTGCTATGACTTGCGTGTCGTTTGATTGTTACAAGTTATTGTTACAAGTACTTTCCGTTGACTTTTTTTTGAAAATTTCGATAAAAGATTAATTTTTTGTGGTTTTCATATATAATTCTTATTAATCTTTTCGCTTGTTTAATATGACCTTATCTTTTTGCTTCTTATGGTCATAATTCACTGAAATCTGATATTAATTTTACATATAACATTTATTAATCTAAAACAGCACATACACAGGGAGCCCATCCCGGGTCTTATTGAAGTTATGTATTAGAATTACGTATGAAATATATAGCTCAGTGTTGAAGCCTGCGATTTGCGGGCTGTGAACGCGCACGTTGAATACACAAACGCGCGGGTTAGCCCGCAAATCGCAGGCTTCAACACTGAGCTATATATTTCCCACGTAATTCTAATACATAACTTCAATAAGACCCGGGATGGGTTCCCTGTGCACATATAGACATAATGCAGCTGGTCAAATAATTAAGATTTCTGAGATTGGGGGTTAAATCTAGTTTAATTCATTGGTGTAAAATCTTTTAAGGCCCGTTTTATACTTCGAATTTTGGTCGCGTCGAATGCAATTCAAACAATAGATAATATCATAATGAAGCCTAATTAATGAAGTTTATCATGCACCACTGCAGTGCTAACCAATTTGTGCATCTCATTATTTATTGTCAGTCTTAATTGTATTCGACGCTACCGATAAAACAGGCCTTAGTATAATAAAGTTGATTTGTTGCAAAGTTCTGTGTCTTTTAATTACCGTGTTGTAAGTGTCGTCAGAGTAGTGTTTGCGACCAAATGGACTCATGAAGAATAGTTTTGTCGCGACACGCTGGCAACAGTTCACGACAGTTGCAACAGTGTCGTCGAGATGGAATGGAGCTGTATCTCCACGACAGTTGCAACAAGCTAAAAACGTGTCGTGACGGTTGCTCTTTTAATGGAAACAGAAAAACGACAGCGTGGCAACAGTTTCGCGACAATCAGGAAGGGGGGGGGGGGGAGAAGGTCCCCTTTGGGGGACCGTGGTTGTCTTTTTAAAACTGCCGCCAGCTCCTTGTACGATCCCTGAGTACGAAATTAACTTGCGACAGTGTCGCGACAGTTACAACCATAAAAATATTCACCACAAACACTTCACGACACGTTCGCGACAGTTACAGCGATTTATATAATAATGTTAAGAATTCAAGGGCTTTCATTGCTCGAGAACCATGATTAATTAGAGGACAGACGCACGGAATTACGTCACATGCACATGACGTACCCAAGGTAGCGCCGAATAGCATTCCTTCATTTGTATAGATCATGTATACGCGCAACATTTGTATTGATATAAGTGTTATAATTGATATATGTGTTATAACTGAAACGTGGTTAAAGGATTGCGACTCTGTGATTGTTGCGGGTCTGTCCCCATCAAGATATAGTTTTGGAAATTCACCTAGAAAGGCTGCGAGATCCGGCAGGGGTCTAGGACTAATGTTCAAAAGCATGATGAGGACTAAACTGGTTGATGCTAGTGAGTACAGATCTTTTGAATTATCTGAATGGAATATTACCTTAAAGAGCCACGTTATCAAATTGGTTGCTGTTTATCGTCCGCCTTCGTCGACTGCACTTTATGTACCTTCTAGCTTGTTCTTTGAGAAATATTCCATCTATCTCGAAAGCGTTGTAACGTCAACTGAGCTATTACTTATTTTGGGCGAATTCAATTTCCATCTGGATTCCGCGGCTGAAGACAATAACACTGAGAAGTTCTGTGACCTCTTGGAAACATTTGGTCTCACTCAACATGTTCCTTTTTTCCACTCATAACTCCGGACATACTCTTGATCTTATAATCACGAGGTCAGTTAATGACGTGCTAATTTCCGAGGTCAAACCCACTCTGGCTCTGTCTGATCATATAACTGTCGAATGTAAGATAGCCATTCCTAGGCCGAATTTAATTGTTAAAGAAATTCGTTCTCGAAATTTCAAGCAAATTGATCACCAGGCGTTTAAAAGCGACATTTCCTCATCTGACTTGTATCATAAATCTTGGACTAATATACATGAACTTGCGAACTGTTATAACAAATCTTTGTTAGAAATTCTTGACAAGCATGCACCTTTAAAGACTATGAAAATAATTGATAGACCTAAGATACCGTGGTTCACTGATGACCTTAAAAAGCTCAAAGCTGAACGTCGGAAACGAGAAAGGAAAATGCTTCAGTCTGGACTTATGGCTGATAAAGAAGTGTGTCGTGGGATTAGAGACAGATACAGTGCTCTTTTTCAGAAAGCTAAGGTCCCCTTCTACACTGATATGATTAACCAATGCGCTGGAAATCCTAAGAAATTATTTCGTATTGTCAACTCCCTGTCTAAAAGACATCAGGATAAAGCATTGCCAACTTATGAAGATCGGTGCACCTTAGCTGAGAACTTTGGACAATTTTTCTATCGTAAGATTGAACTTATAAACGAGAAGATTGATCAAATAGATGCTGTCCCTCTTGTGGTTGAACATCGCTTTCCGGATGTGAAGTTTGAATCTTTCTCTCCGGTGTCAGATGATGTAGTGTCCATTGCCTGTTAATCAATCAGCCTATCGTCAGTATCATTCTACGGAAACTGCCCTTCTCAAAGTACAAAGCGATATCCTTAGCAACATGGATAATCAAGAGGTTGTACTACTTGTGATGCTTGATCTCAGCGCGGCTTTTGACACCATAGATCATAGGATTTTGTTGGATATTCTCGAAAAAGATTTTGGTGTGATTGGTAATGCTAAGAAGTGGTTCATGTCCTTTCTCTTTGAAAGAAAACAGCGTGTTGTTATCGTTCATTGCAAGTCATCTGCTTTCGAAGTGCCGACTGGTGTTCCCCAAGGCCATTGCTTGGGTCCTGTCCTATTCCTGCTTTATGTTTCAGGCCTGTCTAAGGTTATATCTAAACACCTTCCCAGGGATCACGCCTTTGCTGATGATACACAACTGCATCTTTCTTTTAAACCAGATCCTGATAACTATTCGTACCTGGATGGTTCACCATCGTCTTTTTATTCAAAGTAATAAGACTGAGTTTATTATGATCGGTTCTCGACGACACAACTGATCAAGCTATCCATTGATAAACTACGACAACAACAACAACAACAACAACAATTTAAGCCATAAATAAACATACATACTTACACATAAAGAAATTTTACAATACTTAGGACACTGACTTCCCAAAATAACCACAAAGCTAAAGATGCTGGGAAGCCAGTTTACAATAATGTTGATTACTAAATTACATAAAGCACACATACAAACTTATAGCAAAAATTACAATTATACTGTATATACACACGAAGACAGACGACTTATATAATACAAATAAATATATACTGGAGTTTTTTTTGTTATTTTTACAAAATTAATATTTTACTTATAAAATCTTGTTTTATATATTTTTTGAATTTTTTAAATGAAAGAGACTTAACATGAAAATCAATTGCATTCCAAACTATAGGTCCTTGAAATCGTACATTGAATCTACCATAATTTGTTCTTATTTTTGGGAGATAGTAAGACTGTGTAGCCAATGAACGTGTATTATTAAGTCCAAATAGCGCAGGGAGAATTTTTTCGGTCCCCCTTGACTGAGGGCCCCCCATACTTTTTGCGTGAAGCGTGATGGGCTTATTTTACTTAGCCGTGAAACGTGATCGATGATTTTCTTAATACGTGATTCGTGATGGTATGACTTCCAATCTTTTTACGTGCACGTGAATTAAGGAAAGATTCGATTTAACTCGTGAAAAAGCAAAATATTTTTACATGAAATCATATTGTGAAGGGGTATAGGGGGCCCTCTTGACTAGAAATCCTACGTCACCATCAACAGCGTGCAGGCTAAAATTACATTAAGAGCACTTTGGACTCCATGCAGCAAAACTTATGGTTTGTTTGAAGGTATCATTAGAAATCTATAAGAGTTTTTAAGAGGAGATTTATTTCATTGTCATGTAACACGCGCTCAAAACTAATGCGTACAATATACCACTTGAGGTTATGACTAAATTCAAAATTTTTATTTTTCGATACATTTCTCAATCGGCAAACAAACTTAAAAAGTATGTTTAGTGCTTTATCTATAAAATAATGCTAAAATGAAGAGATTTTAGATGATACGCCAAAGAGAAAATGATGTCTGAAGTTCAGTAAGTTTTGCTTATATGGCAGTATTAAAATATGGCGTCAATTTTAAAGCATCATTGATAATTGTATTTTAATTGACAATTTTTAACTATTATTTTATGTTTCTCAACCGGCAGATGCATTTAAAAAGGTAGCTAACTCTATAAACTAGAGAATAAAGCTAAAACAAAGTAATTTTGAGAGGAACGCCAAAAAGATTTTAGGTTTTGAACACTTTTCATTGCAAATACACGACATTGAAAAAAATTGTCTCTTAATATGAACAGGTCGTAATAGACCTTTCCCCTTTTGAGTGAAATTTTAAACTCCACAAGTCTAGACAAAAATTTCATCACAGCTTGAAAGCGCATCACAAAATTAGTAATATTCCGAAGTTTCATTGCGAAATGTTGTAAAATGCGGATAATATAGCCTTGCGAAGTTTGCCGTTTTTCAGTCATTTTGTATTACAAATGGGAAATTGATAATCAGTTTGATCGTTTGAGGAAATTTTCCTACATTCCTAAAGTTATTTGTGCAGCCTGAAACGCAACAATTATAATAAGGCATCTTTTAATATATATTTAGCTCGTTCACTATAACTTGTTGTCCCTCCAATCAAGCACAGAACTCATGAGTTGTGTGCTTGACTTACACAGTATAACTCAAGTTGTAAGCAGGTACCATGCGACAGTTTTAAACTAAAAAGTTGCGCAGTGTAATCGGCCTGATTACATGGAGAGTTTTCAGCCCGGGCTGAAATTTCAGCTTGGTTTTTAAGGATAAAATCCTATTGGCAATTCCAGCTTTTAATTTATGCGCGCACAGGGGGTGATGGGAAGTACGGTATCATATTGCTGATTAGGCTGAAAATTTTCAATAACAACTGCCGAAACAACCGAAATATTTCAATATTTACAAGTATATATTAGCTATCACTCCGTGTTTACACGGCCGCCATTTTTATTTTTTCAGCATAATCAGCAATATGATACCTTACTTCCCATCCTCCCCTGCGTGCATAAACTAAAAGCTGGAATTGCGTAATAAAACGCAGCAAGTAATTACATGAGAGAAATTTCAGCCCGAGAGCCCGAGTTTCAGCCTCGGTTGAAACCACCCGGACTGAACATCGTCAGGTAATCGACGGGAAAAGCACCATAGGAAAAGCACCATAAAGCACCGTGCAAATTTATTAAATATATCTAAGATGGAACCTGCATATGCTCGGCTCCAATAGTAATTTAGATTACAAGAAAATACTATTGTTTTTCCTCATTAAGAGTAGTTGTTAATGTTTGACCGGGAGTACTGTTTGTACTTGACCGTCAAGTTTCTTGACCGTGAGTTTGTACTTGACCGTCAAGTTTCTTGACCGTGAGTTTGTACTTGACCGTCAAGTTTCTGTAGTTATTTCCAGCGCTGAGAAACGCTAGCAAAATAATATCAGTGGCAGGTATTGCATGTGAGATGAATAACTGGAACACTACCTTCATATATAAACTGTCTATATTTTTCTTGAAGCCAACTCTGACTCCAAGACACGCAGTGTCTGGAGGTCAAGACCCGCGTGTTTATGTCTATTCTCTCGAGAGACCATGCCGTCTTGATAAGAAAAAACTGAAACTAAATTCTACTATAGCAAGTTTTCTTTATATGGATTAATAGAACGTTTTCACAGCTGTTAAAAAGCTTTTTATTGGCAAATTTAAGCTGGTTTTCAAGAATACATATTCATGTTGACGGATTGACCGTACTCGTCACATGCGTGAAAAGACTGGGACTGGCCTTTATAAGTCTGGCTTCAAATTTCCGGTTGGAGATAGCGCTCCAGACATACATGCAGCCAATTAAAAAGGTTGTCCTTTTTTAACTCTAAACCTTAAACCTTAAACTCTAAGCGCGCAAATCTTAATGGGAGCACAAGTTTCAAGCTTAGTAGTTGAATATTGCAGCTATTTGTAAATAAAATGTTCAGGTAAGGAGATATTTATCATGTCTCTAAGAAATGGGTCCCATATATG